TTTACATTAACGATCTTCCAGATATTCTCACATCTAAGGTGGCATTGTTCGCTGATGATACTACCATTTATTCGTGTCACAATAAGAAGCCAACTCCCTCTGATTGCTTGCAGGGGGCATCTGAGCTTGAAAAGGATCTCACTTCTGCTACAGCATGGGGCTCACAGTGGCTGGTGAACTTTAACTCAGATAAAACTCATTTTTTTCGACCAATCGTTATCGCAATAGTTTAGACCTTCCTACATTTATGAACGGTAATGCACTCGATGAGTCTCTTACCCTTTATCTTCTAGGATTAACTCTTACTTCTGATCTTTCTTGAAAACCTTATATCAAATCCGTTGCAAAATTAGCATCTGCTAAAGTCTTCTTCTAAGTTGCTTCTCTTTATCGAGCTCGTCACTTTCTTACTCTGGATTCTATTCTCTATCTCTATAAATTTCAAATCTGGCCTTGTATGGAATACTGTTGCAATATCTGGGGCGGATCTTCTAATGATGCCCTTTCTCTTTTAGACAAGGTGCAAAAACGCATTGTAAACATAGTTGGACCTGCTCTTGCAGCCAACCTTCAACCTCTGTCACATCGTCGTAATGTTGCTTCTCTTTCTCTTTTCTACAAATACTATAATGGGCACTGCTCGAAAGAGCTAGCGTCTCTTGTGCCATCTACTAAAATTCATTCTCGTGTTACTCGTCATTCAATTAAGTCTTATCCTTTTTCTGTTACTGTTCCTAAGTGCTCCAAAAACTCTTATTCGTCTAGTTTTTTTCCTCGAACATCAGTTCTTTGGAATTCGCTTCCTTCATCTTGCTTTCCTGATTTATACAATTTGCAATCTTCAAGTCGACTGTCAATCATTATCTTGCTCTACAATCTTCATTTTTTCTCTTCCAGTAACTTCCAACACTAATTAGTGGTTGCTTGCAGCCTTGTTGGAAGCGAAGATAATTAAAAAAAAAAAAAAAAAAGTTAAAACATAAGCTGTAAATTATAACTACACTATTTTAAATTCCGCCAAACAAGAAAATTAAAAGATAATGTTTAAATATGAGAGATATTATGTTAAATAAATAACAATTACAAACTAATGTTAAAAAATTACAATTTTATACTAACGCAACCCCCCATCCTCTTGCAATGGAGCAGCACCAGGGATGGAGGAGGAGGTGAAAATATTTTGTTTGCATTAATTCGAGCCCTGATTGTCATTTAAGATTTTGTGAATACTTTAAATTGCAGTTAATAATTTTCATCATAATTAACAATATTACTGGAGTAGGGGGTATCTAATTAGTACTTACATTGTGAAAGAACTTAAAAATCAATTTTTTACTGTGTATGTTCTTTGTCCATGTGTCCTTATCTGTTCAAGAAAACAATAATAATTTTAATTAAAAAGATTTTAAATATTTTTATAATTCTACCTTTATTATCTCATGATGGTAGAGTTATTTTTCATATTTAACTGCAAATATTACGTATTAAAAATATTTTAAATTTAGTTGTTATTTTATTTCTATACCTTGGTGCACTACTAACTATCATAAGTTTACTTTGTCTACAGTTAAAATATGGTTTTAACTTAGTGAACTTTAATTTTTTTAAATTTACTATATTGATCATTTAAAATATTAGTTTAAAAAAAAATTAGCTTGTTGCAACCAAGGTAAGAATAATTTAAATATCTGGTCAAATTACAAAATTTGTTGCACTAAATTTTTGTTTTGCTATTATGTAATTGTTATTTTGTGTAATTGTGTTTTTATACAGATTTAAACTATTTTCAACAAAAAAAATTTTTAACATCAGCAAATTGGTTTGTCGTGCTAATAGGCAATGTTTTTACTTTTTTTATCATATCATAATTTTTTTTTATTTTAGATATCTTACAATGCTTTTTCAGCATATTGCAGAACAAACCTCATAAGGCACATTAGGAGTGGGCTCTAAGTTAAGGCAAAAGCCTTCCATCCCCTCTTTTTTTTTTAATATAGGGAGTGTGGAATCTGTAGAAAGTAAAATAAGAGGAGAAGGAGTGGTGGGGAAAAAAACACACTGCATCTATAATTAGTATTTTTGTAATTGGGTAATATACCAAAAGTTAATTGATGATCCAAATTTAGTTAAATTTTTTTTGTAAATATTTATATATTTTGTTATTATGTATAAATATATAATAATTGTAAATAATAAAACACTTTTTTGCTTAACAATGTTTAGTTTTAAAAAAATATTATTTTTTCTTTTATATAATTAAAAATTTGTATTGTTTTGTTTGTATATAAATTATCATATAATTTTAAAAAATTTAAAAATTTAAAATTTATATTAATAATTTGTTTTGTACAAAGTAATTTCTTTTTTTGAATCTAACCCTGATAAATTACCCTAAACCTGACCCTAACCCTAACATCTAAACCCTAATGACTAGATACACTTTTTTGACACTGAGCACCAGAAAATTGCCAGCCCTAAATCCCAACTTTTAGATCTTCAAGTTGTTTATGTATTACATATTGTGTTGTACTATTTAGAGTTAAAACAGAGCATGTTAGTTTGTTAGCTGTCAGTTTACTTGAGTTCAAGAAGTCAAACAAAATAACTATATTTTTAATAAAAAAACACTGTTGACAAAACATTTTCATGAAATAGTTTGTCAGAAGCATATTCAGTCAAAGCAGTAGCAACTTGACTACTAAAAATTTGTGTTTTTAATTTTACTCACAAGGCTAATATTGATCTTAGATCAAAATTACAATCTGTCAATTTTGGCACAAGTTGGACAGCATTAACCTTTTCCAAATTATAAAGTTCTTGCAGAGCTTCCACAATATTATTTTACCATCAGATAAATTATTATCATTTACTAAATTGTTTCTAACATTTTTTATAAGATGTGGCGGATCAAATATTATATATACTTTTGCTCCTGTAGTTGAATGTGAAATATGTTGATTTAATAATGAAAATCCTAGAAATTTGAGAGCTTTAATATTACAGCTTAACCTGTTAAATGTAGATAATGCATACCCTTATTTACTATCTTAGCTAAATTTGGTTGAACACATAGTATGTGTTCAACCAAACTACATTACTGTAAAAATATGCAATTGGTTGTTTCCATCGACTTGCATTTTTAGTAAAACATTTTTTCATGGTATCTACTTGCATTTTTAGTAAGTAACCTTATTGGAAAAAAACAGATTCTAGGGTCCCAAAAGATTTTTCAAGAAATATTAAAATTGTTTTTCTAGCAGGTAATGAAAAAACTCTTTTAAACATTTTTAAAGCTTTTAAACATTTTAAAAGCTTGCAGACTGCAATATAAGAATCCATTGTTTTCAACTCAATGTTTTCTTTGTTTAAAACAATTATTCATACATATTAACTTTCAAAAAATTGAAGTTGGGTTTTTGATAAAAAAATTTCTAGATAAATTAATAATATGTGCTATTGAACAATCACATCTTTTATTATCTTATGCTTTATCTTTAGCTTCTTGAGCTGTTTTTTTTTTAAGTCAAAAAATATTAACTTGTGATAATTTTTTTTTTTTTTATTTGTCATTAAAAAAAAAGTATACAATGCCGTGTTATATAAATAAAATCTACATGACCGGGGCTAAAAGAAGACAATATTTGCCTTATCACTACACCCCGACAATAATAAATACTTATTTTTTATAGAAGTTTTGACATTTACATTAATTATAAAACATTTATTTCATTAAAATCAATTTTACTATTGATTTCATTTTATTTTATTTTATTCTGTAAATGAAGTCTGTTTGTTGGTTGTTTTCTCTTTAAGTTTCTGAAGTTAGTATTGGGAAAAATCAAAATGTTTACTAAAAATAATATAGTTAAGTTTTCTTACAAATGTATATACAAGTTCTTCACATGATTTTGTATCAGAATCTTGATAACAATTTTGAATGAAGAAATTGCGTTGTTGCAAACTAATTCTTTGTTAAGCTGTTCTCTGCAACCAGCTCTTGACTCTCTTTTGATTGTTGGTACACACCATTTCACTTTGTCGATTTCTTTTATGATTTTGAATTCTTGAATGAAGTTTGAGTAGCCTTTCTTCATAGCTATGTTACTTATTGTGTATGTCTAATCTTGGTGTCTCATTGCTTTTTCAAGTTCAAAATTTGAGTTGAAATTTGTTGATAGTGACCAAATGCATATTGCATATTTCAAATGTTCTGACATATGTTTTATAGAGTTTCTTCCATAGTGTTGGGTCTCACAATATAAAAGTATTTTTCAATAGACCCAGAAATTTATTTGCAGTCAACGCAGCTTTATTTACTTGTTTTTTTGGTTTAAGATAATAGATTAAATCTTATTAATTTAGTTAAAATATTTTGCATCATGTAAAAATAATTTATATTTTATAGCATTTAAGTAAAACAGAGTTTGATCCTGCAAGACATCTCAAATTCCAATGTATGACAAATTACACATAAATATAAGGATTTTTACCAAAGTTAGCAGGCTTTAAAATCTATACATTTTTAAATATATAGTTTTAAACATAGAATTATATATAATGATAAATCCATTATAAATAATGATAAATACATTATAGAAATTTTCAATTTTTAAACATTCACCATGCAAAAGCATAACTAAGGTGTTTATGTCACTTAAGACAACTTTAAAGCATGTAAATACACAAAAGGTCCTGTCCATCCCTAATCAACATTTGAACACATTCTAAAGTTAAATTGAAATTTATTAAAAAAACTAAAATTTAAACAAAAAGCAATGTTAAAATCAAAATAATATTGAATTAAAGATTGTTGTAAATAGAAATGTGTTTGATTTTTTTTAAACATTAATACAACTTTACTGTTGTTTTTTTTTACTGTTTACCTTAAAGTTATTACTAAAAAAATTTTACTATTTAATACAGTGGGTTTAGTGACTAACCATAAAAAAATATGTTAAGAACAATATGCTTAAGAAAATTTAAAAACGTTACAAACTGACCAACACAACTGTTGTTATTCAATTTCCACCCAGGCTTGCAAGTAAAATGAATAGTTTGATTGGTATTCAAACAATCACTGTTTTCCCGGTTACAGTTCATAGAATAATATGCTAAAAATACAGAACATAAAATAACATGCTAAAAATAATATGGTAAAACAAAATTTAAAAAAATGTTACATAAAACTGACCAACACACTTGCAAGTAAAGTAGTAATTTCCATTGGCACAATCACTGTTTGCCCAGTTACAGTAATCAGTCAAGTTTGTGCATTCATCAATATCTGAAAACAATTGTAAAGTAACATATGAAATAACTTTTATTTATCAATTATAGAAGCAACATAAATGTGCAAACAACATGTTACAATATCAATCATTTAATCTTAGCACAAAATCTAAATTCTGCATGTTCGTACTTATGTCAAATGATGACCAAAACTTAAAAAAAAAACTTTGTGATGGTAAGCTTTAGCCCTTTTATATGAGAGCAATCAGTTTATAACTTTTTTTATTACTGATTTGAACTAAGTTTATTTTTAGATTTTAAAATTTAAAGCTTGAAATAACCATGAACACAAAATGTAATTTTCTAATAAAATTGAGGGTTGCATAAGGTACAAAAACGTTTACTGATTATATCGCTTTAAAATTATCATTTTTAGCTACTAAATTATTTTGTTTTTTAAATAACTTTAAGTCAAACGAATTATGTAATTTAATGATTGCACTTTTAACTTTTATTATTTTTATCTTCATATAATTGCTGATTACTTTTATATTCTATTTTAAAAGTTATAAAAAAAATTTAATTTAAAACAAAAGTAAATACATATTGTATCATCATAAAAGGTCAAACTTAACATAAAAAAAAAAAACTTGCACCTTTGAAAGATTATGGTCAAAATACTGTTTATAAAATTCTACACAAGGTCCTAGATCTAATGTTTGTATAACATTCAGCATATGGTATATGGTTATTTGCTTAACAATAATTGTCATATCAAGATTCATGTCCTTTATTTTATTGAATTTATTTTTATTGATAACGTTTATTTATTAAAAAATCTTAGCGAAAATTATTTATTAAAAAATTATTTATTAAAAAATATTAGCGAAAAGTATATCTTGTCTAGATGTTTTAGAATATAATATACACATATAAAGATTTCTGACTTTTTTTCTATGACAAATACTGTTTTTGATGTTTTTAGAGTTTCCTGCACAACATATGTGAACTTGTTTACTCGATAAGAAAAGTGCTTTAATAAAGACTCTAGCAAGACATCTAATACTCTATAGTTAAAAAAATATATAAATATTTTACTTTATATTTGGAGGCCTTAAAGTCTATGCTTTAATGTAGGAATTATCTAATAATAATCAAAACTGAGCATTAAAAAAGGTAATAAATAAAAAATGTCTGTCCAAATCTTTAACCAATGTTTATAGTAAGGAATCTGCAGATTTTAGTTACAAATTTGTGTAGAAATTTACTTTTAAACATGAGCTATATGACAAACTGCACATCACTATTATCTAATTTTAATTTTTGAAAAGCTTATTAAGAGTAAAGTTTGTTTTTATGCCTTTTATATCTAGATACAGCCTGCATTAACTCAAACCCTTTTTTGATATGTATATTAAAGCACTGCCTATTGGCTATTATAATACTACCATTAACTTTGGCACTTCAAAGACACACCTGCTGATGTTACAATAATAAACAACAATAAACACAATAAAATTAAAATGCAAGATTAGAATGAAACAAACAAAAAAATAAAAAATAAAATAAAAGCCTAATATTAGAAATGTAATTGTCTACCTAAACCAAACACCTGCGGTAGTGCTGTAGTGGTGTAGTGGTAGAGCGCTCGCTTCATAAACAAGTGGTTCGGAGTTCGATCCCCACCACGTCCCTGGTAGTACCGCGCTCAACTCGTTTCTCCGCGCAGTGGCCTTGTTCGTCAAGGTTCGTGTTTCGGAGTTATAGAGTTGAGAGAGGGTTATAGCCACAAAATAAGTAGCCTCCTCGTCTGTAGTGGCCTTCTCGGCCTTGAGGAGGTGAAGTAAAATAGAAAAAAAACCAAACACCTCAGTTAATATATATCTACTCACTGATAACTCATCTTGTCTTTAGAAAAGAATAACTAAAACACTATAATTAGAACAATAAAAAAAAATTAATCAAAACAAAAATGTTTTCTATATACCTGTAGGTAGAACAATAATAGGTTGAAAGTCATTACCTAAAAAAGTTAGTAAACAAACTTAGAATTAATATTTAGAAAACAACATAGTCTAAATTAAAAAAAAGTTGAAAACTATAAATAAACAATTAAAAGCATACTTGAAATACCATTGATAACAAATAAATTCCTTATTAAACCATCTTGAACATCATACCAAGGATCAGATGCATACACTTTTACATTATCAAAACTTTGAGTTTGGTTATTAATATCAGTAAAGACAACTTCTCCATTTAATATAATTGTGTACACATAAACTGAGTTTTTCAAAATTTGACTAACTTTAACATTAGACCAATGATTTAAATCGATCGGTTTTGTGGTGAAAACTTTATTAAAATTACCATTAATTGGTGCTGAAATGTGAAGACCACCAGCCCCATTGTCATGAAACCAGATACCTGGAACACGATCACCATATTGACCATAATTAGAACCATTAGTGAAATGAATAACACTATGCCAACCAGCAACAAACTTATTTGGAAAGACATCAAATGAAACCAAAAATTCCTTTTCTAGTTTTTGTATCTCGCCAATAAGTTTTCCTTTTACTAACAGAATGTTAGAATTACAAAGATTTTCTAAAAAACAATACAATAATTAAATACAAGATGTAAATGTAAATAAGAATATCAGATAAGAAATGAATATTGATTAAACAATTTATTTTTTATATAAAAATTGTAATTACACTCTTTTCTAAAGCATACTTCAACTATATTGAACACTAGACGTGTATATATACATAATGAAGAAATTTGTTTTAATTACTTTTATTTTGTAAAATTATTGGTTTCACGCCATTGACATAATTATAACTACAATTTATGTCTCTCGCAATATAAATACAATATATGGCTCTCACAATATAAATACATTTTATGGCTCTTGCAGAAGTATATTTTTTTCATAAACATAAACCACTTTTTTTTTCTTTATTAGTAAAATTAAAAATCTATGTGCAAACTGTAAACTGCTTTTTATTTTTATTTTGGTTAAACTCATAAACATAATATGAAATTTTTACGCACCAAGTTATTATGTAATAATTTTTATATTATGTAATGAATTATATATTTTATATATTAATTATAATTATTAAACAAATATTATAAATTTTTATACATTTGTCTCATTTTGAGCGAAATAAAAATACATAATACACAAATAAATACTCTGCTAAAAATTATTTTATTAACTTTGACGATTATTAATAATTTTATTGAAAACGCAGTTATTATTGAAAGTATTTTTGTTTACAAAATCAATCGCACAAATTGCTTTAAAAGATTACATTTGAATAAAATACACATACATTAAATTACATAGATAAAAATACATTACATACATAAAAATACATTACATGCATAAAAATACATCCCTTATATAAAAAATAAGAATATACTAATAAAATCTATAATATATTTACAAAACGTTGACAAGTTAAAAAATATAAGTTTAACCCATTTATTATTGTAAACATATAATGTTAGTTTAAAACATTTATAGCTTTATAGATGTGGCTCTAAGAATTAAAATAATAGTTTGTTTGATAGTATATTCCTAAAATAATTTATGCTAGAAGTCTCATGAAAATGTAACAAAATTCAAATAATACAATATTGTAAAATATTTCAACAGAATACTCAAGACATTCGGTTAGTATTTTTTGAATACTCGGTTAGCATTTTTTGAACCAATAGAATTAGTTGTTTGCAGATTTGGCGGGTTTTTTGTGTTCGCGAATATTCTTTTTTGTATTTTTCTGCACTAAGTTGTTTGAGAACATTCAAGTTTATGTATGTTTCCATGTAAATCCATAAAACAAAACATTAAAAAATTTACAATAAAATGAACTTATTATTTTGAGGACAAACAAGGAAACATACATAAACTTAAATGTTCTCAAAACAACTAAAAAATCTGGCCAGTTTTTCGCAACTAAATATCATTTTCGTGGTCAGTTATCGAGTGCAATCGCACCAGCTTCCTGACCAAGCCTGATTACATGTATTATCAAAACTTATTTTAGTTTAAATGCGCCAGATATTTTTTACTATTTTTATGTAAATAAAATATGACTAAACATATTTTTAAACATCGCTGTTTAAAAAAAAATTATTATTATATGTTAAAACATGCTTTATTTTGCTGTGTAAACTGAATTACACAGGCATAGAGGAGAGCACTGGCATTCGCCTGCCATTTCTGCCAAGGGGTATATATATATATATATATATATATATATATATATATATATATATATATATATATATATATATATATATATATATATATATATATATAAATATATATATACATATATATATATATATATATATATATATATATATATATATATATATATATATATATATATATATATATATATATAAATATTAGGGTGGTGCAAAAAAATTTTTTTTTAAATTTCTTTGATGGTACCATTTCTTTATGTGACATTATGTGTAGGAATAACAATCGTGAAGTTTGGGCATGATTGAATAATTTTTAAAGGTTGCTCATCAACATCAAGTTTTTTACTTTTTGGGTTTGAGTTCTCTTTTAGTGTGCAATCCCAAATTTTGAATAAATTATGATACAACATTGCATTTTAACTCTTACTGTATATTAATCCAAAACCATGCAGTATTTTTTAAACTGAATTATATATATTATTGTTTACAAATAAAATAATTGAAGAATAAAGTAATAAACTTCTGGTTTATAATAACGTATTTGTGTTCACTATAGTAAAGACAAATTTAAAAAACAATAATAGTTCCAAAAAATCTTAAAAATTGTTAGAGTTTTAGGTTTCATTTATATTTCAGCTTATTTGCAAAAAATTATTGTAATCTATGAAAAAAAATTCATTGGTTTTTGTGGCAGAGGAAACTTTGACTTGTGTTCAGAGACTACCTGCAACAAGAATTGCTTTTGTTCTTCATTTTTGGTAATTGAACAATTAAAATCCTGAATTAGTTTTACTCCTCTTTCAGCCGTACCATTAACATCTCGTAGACTTTTTACAATTTTTTCTCCCTGTTGAAACTCTTCATTTTCGGTCGACTTGTCAGGATCAACAGTTGTCAAAAAAGTAGTTGGTAATTCCAAAATGTTGAAAAAATTTAAGGTATTCTCTGTTACAAAACTTTCTATTTGCAGATTTTCAATTGAAGTTAAATCGATTTTTATTCTTTTCTGTGGTTCATCCTCTCCAGCATTTTGTAGAGCCAAAACCATTTTTGCTTTTGTTTCCTTGCTGATCTCATCAAAAAAAGCCAATGCTACCATTTCTTCACTTAGATACCATAAATGCCTCGAAAATGCTGTTGCTGCAGCTGTAAAAATTCCATTGTTAATGGCTTTATGTTGAAAAACAGTTTTCAAGAAAGTGAGATCATTCGACGGAGCAAGTGTTGGATTGGTACATGATATCCAAAATTTGGTGTACACCAAACTAGCAAACAAGCTAATACCTCGAAGTGATTTTTCTTCTTTTGCCGTTAATTTGAACTGCCTTTTGAACATCCATATTTTCATTGAATATAAAATTTTGGCCATCCACCTTCCTCTGTGTATGGCTCCGGGAGCCATTACATGAGCCTTACGAGGAGGAACATCACCAAGAAACAACAAGGTTAGTTCCAACAATTCCTTGTAGTCATCTCGATATTGTTTACCAGATTCAAGAATTGTTTTCAAATAAAATAGTGCATCATCATAGTTTGAGTATGGTGTGAGAAGCCAAAATGTCCGAACATATTTGATCATTTGACGCTGTTTCATAATTATTTTTGTCAATTAATGACCACTTGTCACGAAAACGTTTAAATAATCCTATTTCAGGACCACTGGATTGCCCAAGAGAATGCTTAAAAACATCACTCAAGACGATTTCATACATATGATGACGGCATGCCAAGTGTAATAGTTCTCTATTAAGCTTTTTTTCAATTAAAGTACACGCTCCAGCTTCGGTACCAGTGTTGGCAGCCGTTGTATCAAAACTAATTGCTTTAACTCAGTCTTGAATGTCCCAATCTAGTAAAGTTGTTATAACAGCTTCACTCATTGCTTTACCAGTACCCCTTGTTAACTTTGGAATGCCAAGAAGCTGGTCAACGTTGTAACCTGTAACAACAACTGCTAATCGATCAACTGAATCTCTTCCAGCAATATTTGGCAATATTTTGCCATCAAAATGAACAGTCAATGGAACATTTGACGAGTTGAATGCAAACTTTATGGTTGTAGCAATTTTGTTTCGATTAGTAATTCTAGCTCTCCGGATCGTATCGCGACTAATAGCAAAATCTGTAATGTCATGACCTAAACCTTTTGCTGCAGCTGCCAGTAAATAAGTCGCTTGGCGATTCGTGACGTTGGTTCGGTCAAGAGCAGATGCTAACTCAGGTGAAATGATATTTTGAGATCGCGATCCCTTTTTTACAACATTTTGATTAGATTTCTTTGGTTTCATAAATTCCTCATCTGAGGTTTCAGTGCCAGATGTAGACTTGTCAGATAGGTGCATTGAATCAATGTGACTTGTATTTTCAGCTTCTTTTTTTCGCTTTTTTTCCTGAAAACGTCTGGACTCTTCTAATTCTTTTCTTTTCTGGACACGTTCTTCTGTTTTTGCCAATGCCATGTCAACTCCGGCCATGTATCCCTTACGTTCACCTCGCTGATCTATTAGAAATAGTCTGTCTTCTTCAATTGTAATCAAACTCATGGCATCAGCATGTGCTATATCAAAAATGCAATCAATTTCTTCACAAAAAACATTTTCATTTGCTGTTTGTGTTGCCGAAGCTCGTTTCATGTTTTTCTTTATTTTAGCCCATTTGTAAAAAATATTTTCAAGTTTTTCAATTGCATTACGTTCAATAGTTGTTAGAATTCTTGCCATATTCCACAAATGAAATACTTCTCGAATGACACACCTTGCACTTTGTCTAATGGTTTGTTTTTCTATTTTGTGAAGATGAAAAAATACTGCAAGAACTTGACGACATGTTGGAAGCTTCATCCCAGAAATATTTGGAGAAACAGACCCAACAAGATAAATGTCAGTAGTTGTTTGAGTTTCAATTTTTTTCGAAAACGAAGGGAAAGATAACTGAGAATTCATATTACAGGATATTTCTGAAAATCAAAATATAACCTGAGTAAAACAATTGTTATCACAAAATGAATTTATTTTTTTAAAGCCTCAAATCAGCACTCATATGAACAAAAATTAAAATGCTTTGCGGTATATTGTCAAAGATAGTTGCACACTATTAAATTAGAAAATATATTTAAAAAATATTTAAAATCGATTAAAATAATTATCATAATTAATTAAATTAAATCAAATTAAGAGTTATGTCATAATAAAATAAATAAACAAATGTACATATTAAAAACTTCACAGTAACGTTAGAATAGGAAAATAATGGCAATTAAAAGAGGATATATATATATATATATATATATATATATATATATATATATATATATATATATATATATATATATATATATATATATATATATATATATATATATATATATATATAGTATATATATATATATATATATATATATATATATATATATATATATATATATATATATATATATATATATATATATATATATATAGGGGTGCCAAAGAGAGAAAATATTTCTAAAAGATGTTTTATTACTGTATCAGAGGTGATTTGGGAGCAAGGGAATGCAAATGGGTATCTGGAATACTCGTCAATTATGACTAGAAAGTATTTGTTTGGAGTTTTTGATGGAAGAGGGCCAACGAAATTCATAGCGAGTCTTTCCTATGGTCTAGTATAGGAGATCAGTTGACCAGGCGGGGGCTGAAAAAACTTAGGTTTGAGCTCATAGCATACCTGGCAGTCAGAAATTATGTCTCTTATTTCACAGATAGTGTAGGGTAAATTCCGTATCTTGCAGTAGTGGTTTAATCATGTTACTCCTGGGTGGCATAGTTTGATATGTAGTTGTCGTAGTGTACTAAGATTGGTATTTATGGCAAGGCATCTAGAGAGTGCATCTGCTGCAATATTTTCTAGTCCAGATCTATATGAAATATTGAACCGATACTCAGATAGTTCTAATCGCCATCTTGTAAGTTTGTCACTTTTTATTTTAGAAATTTTTCCTGGATTAAGGAAGGAAACAACTTTTTGATTGGTTAAAATATCGAATTTCGGGGCAGAAAATAGTAGGTGTCTCCATCGACAACAACATTCCATAATAGCCATTGCTTCTCGTTCTATGACAGATTGGCCACTTTCAGGCCTTGATAGGACTCTGGAGAAGAATGCAATAGGTCTTTCTTCTTGACTTAGTGTGTTTTACCAATAGCAGTTTGAAATGCGTCAGTTTCGATTTTAAGAGGAATATTAGGATAAGGTGTCGCTAAAGAGGCTGTGGTTAATTGGTCTTTTAGTTGTTTAATGGCAGTGGTAGCTTCTTCTGAAAGAGGGATATTTTTGCTTATTGAGTCACGAGAATTAGTCAGAATGGTAGTTAGATTAGTGCAGTTAGGGATCCATTTAGTATAGTATGCAAAGAAGCCTATCAAGCTGTTTAATTGTTTAATGTTAGTTGGAATAGGATAATGTTGTAAGGCCTGGAACCTTTTGGGATCTGGTTTCAACGTTCTGTTTTCTATTAGGTGTCTAAGAAAACAGAGTGAGGTTTGAGAAAACTCAAATTTTTTTGTAGTTGGTATTTTGAGACAAAATCATCCATGATGCGTTGAAAGATGGCTACTGCATTTGTGCTTTCAAATGGGAGTTTTTTAAATTCATACAGCTTTCCATTAGCTTTGAAAGCAGTCAATGAATAATCTCTCTTTTTTACTGGGATTTGGTGGTAAGCATTTTTTAGATCTATTTTACTGAATATACTGTTTATAGCTACCTTATTTAGTAGGTCATCTATTCTAGGACAGGGGTAAGAATCCAGAGGAGTATGTATATTTATGGTGTTTGAGAAGTTGATTACTAGACAAGGTTTTTTTGATAGGTTTGTGACAAAGCATTGGGCTCTCC